CCTAGACCTCAGACAGGAGACATCAGCAAGTAAACTCATACAATCTAGTTAGGTTAAACTGTAACATCTTATCATTTGTTTTCTCTTTTGACCCATTTTTAATTTGCTCTAGGTTTTACGATCTTAGGCTTTCTTTTGGATTAAGGTTTTTCTTGTGTTTTATTTTGTTCTTGTTGAGGTGGGGGTTGTATAATTTTCTGTACATGAATTCCAGGATCAGCATGGGAGGTTGGTGGTGGGGGAAAACAAACCAACCTCACTGCCATAGAGTGGATGCGAACTCACAGCAATCTATAGGACAGGGTAGAACTGGCCTTGTGAGTTTCTGGAGACTGTAACTTTTTTTTCAAGTCATTTTATTAGGACATAATCCAGGCATCATACCGTTCAATGCAGTCACATCAAGCAGTGTTATACAATAGCTACCACAATTATTTTCAAAACATTTTCTACTTTCTTGTACTCCTTGATATCAGCTCCCCATTATCCCTCAACCTGAGACTGTGACTTTTGGGGGGGCACGGGCGAAACTTGGGAACGAAGAGACTGTAACTTTTTATGGGAGTAGAAAGTCTCATCTTTCTCCCACGGAGAAGCTGGTAGTTTTGAACTGCTGACCTAACAGAAGCTCAACTGATAACCACTGTGCCCTCAGGGTTTCTCTAGGGGAGCGAGGGAGCTAATAATAATGAATGCAAAATGAAGAAAATGTTCAAAAATTGATTGTGGTGATGATTGCACTACTCTTTAATATAATCAAACCATTGAATTATATGGTACGTGACTTGTATACCAATAAAACTTTAAAACTTTTTGAAGGCCAAAAGTTCTGATTTTCATTCTGTGCCTTTGCTAAAGGCACCCTATAAGCATTAAATACCATATATACTCGTTATAAGCCGAGTTTTTCAGCACATTTTAATGCAGTTTTTGTGGTAAAATTAGGTGCCTCGGCTGATATTTAGGTCGGCTTATACTTGTGTATGTACGGTATCTTTTATTTCACTGAGAAATAGTTCCAAAAATCAACAAAAATCTTCTGTAGCAGCATTCAAGGGAGCTTTATAGAAACTCAACAATCTGTGGACAAGGTTAAGATGAAGGTCTATTAGTGGCCTTCACAGATACTTATCTTTCTAGAAACCTTAGATCCACTGCCATTGAGTCAATTCCAATTCATAGTGGCCCTATATATAGGGTTTCGGAGACGATAAATCTTTATGAAAGGAAGGCCTTATTTTTATGCCATTCTCGCTGTAATTCTTCAAAAGCAAGGCACCTACAAACAGCACTATTGCCAATGCATGTCAGTAGATTATTTTGTTCGGCATATAACTGTAATCTTGAAAACCATTATAAACACCAAATTTGGGCCTATTTTGTCTTCTTATTATAATGACTAATCCAACAAAACAAAACAAAACCATCGGGTCAAAGTAGTCATTTACTACTTTTGAAAATTATCAACTCTTTCAAAAAAATAAATAAATAAGTCTTTCAATGAAATAATGTTTCTCTTATTTCATAATAGTTGTCAACGTACATTGTTTCAAAAACATTTATCTAAGCTTTTCTATATAAACAGTACAATTCTCCAACAATTATGATGTTTACATAATTTCCCTGACACTTTCTCTAACCATTGCCAACCTCTACTCTTGTTCTACAGTCACTCTCAGTGTGGTCCCCAGACCAGGAACACTATTGAAAACTCATCCAAAATGCACATTCTCAAGTTTCTGAATCAGAACCTCTGGGGTGGTGCCAAGCAATTTGTGTTTTAACAAGTCTCCCTGTGACAAAGCATGCTAAAGTCTGAGACCCATGTCTCTAATAAAACAACAGTTACCAGAATAGGGTCGAAAGCCAATATTCTCTTCCAGGTAGTCAAAGAACCAACTTCCTGTCATGTCCTCCCACTGATAGAATTTATAAGCAAAGAACTGTGCTCCACAGTATTTTCATGTTTCTGACCTTTCAGAAGCAGATCAGTGGACTTCTCTAGAGTCATCTCTGGGTGGGTTCAAATTGTCAGCATTTCCACTAGAAGCTGACTATTTTACTATTCGTGCCACACAGTAGCCAATAATATTGTACTGAATGTCCTTGGATTTGCATCTTTGCACCATTGTTGAAGTTTATTTATAGAATAAGTTTCGAGCAGGAGGCAAAATGGTTTGCGTATTTTTACAGTTAACATATTGTGCCAAATTGCCCTCTAAAGGGATCATTTTGCCTTATCACCCCCTACCAC